AAGTTGTTTTGCATTTAAATTGTAAATCAAGATAAAAAAATTATAAATTAATAATGTATGTATTTTAAGTTTAAAAAAACCATAAGTTGTTATTAACCTCTTTTTGAATATTTTATATCTTTTTTATTTTATTTTATTTTCCAATTATTTTTATATTTTGAGGTTCCCATTTACCTCTAACATATTTTAAAGTGTAGAAGAGTGAAATTGGAGGAAGAAAAAAAAAACAAACAAACAAACAAACAAACCTCTTCTTCCTTCTCTACTCCTTCTTGTTTGAATAGCTAAACTATACATTTAAAGTGATCTTTGAGGTTAGTATATTTAAAGTTATTATTTTTACATTACTTTATTTGAATTAATCTTTTTTATTTTCAATGAGAAATTCAGTATTTTAATTTTTATTTACTCATTCTATTTTTATGTTTAGAAAAAACATTGTATGTTATGAACATTACATTAATTAAAATTATATTGTTTTTAGTTGTAGCAATGGAAAGGTATTTTAAAAAAAAATCATCTTCAGAGCAAGCATCTTCTCCTCAAATACATGTTGAAAAGGAAGTCAAATTGGGTCCACCAACCAAAAAAAGATTTTTAGAATGTGATTTGGAAAGGCTTCCTGACGATCCTTGTCTAAGGCCAAAATTTTCATATTATCATCCAAGTGATAGAGATAAAGTTAGAAGATATTATTTGCAAAAGGGTTCTTGTCAACCAAAAGAGATAAATTTTCCACAAAGACAATTTGGAGATACCATTCGTAAATTTAATCCGAATTGGTATTTAAAATATGGAAGTTGGTTAGAATATAGTCAAAAGGAGGATGCAACATATTGTTTATATTGTTATCTTATGAGATCACATGTTGGGGAACATAAAGGTAGTGGTGATGTATTCATAACAGAAGGTTTTACAAATTGGAAAAAAAGTGAGAGATTTCAAGTTCATGTTGGAGGTCTAAATAGTTTTCATAATCAAGCATGGAGGAATTGTCAATTTTGATGAAACAAAAGCAACATATTGAAGTTGCAATGTGTAAGTAGTCTGATCAAACTAAAAATGAATATCAAATTCATTTGACTGCAATAGTTGATTGCATTCGATTCTTATTACGCCAAGAATTAGCTTTCCGTGGTAATGATGAGTCAATGTCATCAAGTAATAAGGGAAATTTCTTGAACTTTTAGATTTTCTTGCTAACCACAATGAATTTATTCATAAAGTGATAAAAAATGCTCGTGGAAATCTTAAGTTGATAGCTCCTACAATACAAAAAGATATTGTTAGATCTGCTGCTAGTGAAACTACTAAAGCTATACTTGATGATCTAGGAGATAATTTGTTTGCTATTTTGATTGATGAATCTCGAGATATCTCAATGAAAGAGCAAATGGTTGTGGTTTTACGTTATGTTAATAAAAAGGGACAAGTTATAGAGCGTTTTCTTGGTCTTGTTCATGTTTCTAATACTAATGCTTTATCATTGAAAATAGCTTTGGAGTCATTATTTTCAAAATATGGATTAAGTTTATCAAGATTGTGTGGACAAGGATATGATGGAGCAAGTAATATGAAAGGTGAATTTAATGGTCTCAAAAGCTTGATATTAAAAGAGAATTGTTCCGCATTTTATATTCATTGTTTTTTCCATCAACTTCAATTAGCTCTTGTTACAATGGCAAAAAAACATGTTGGAGTTGCATTATTTTTTAACTTGGTTGCAAAAAGGAGAAATCTCTAGTGGACATGGCTTGAATCAAGAAACTACAATCAAGGAGGGAAATACTAGATTGAGCTCACATTATGATATATTACTTAGTCTGTTTTCCTTGTTCTCTTCCATGATTGATGTGCTTGAAATAGTTGAGGAAGATGGCATAAGTTTAGCGCAAAAAGGTGAAGCATGCACTTTATTGAATTCTATGCAAACTTTTGAATTTGTTTTCACCTTGCACTTGATGAACAATATTTTAGGGATTACTCATGAGTTATCTCAAGCATTGCAAAGAAGTGATCAAGATATTGTAAATGCTATGAAATTAGTTTCAGTGTCCAAACAAAAATTACAAGCAATGAGAGATGATGGTTAGTCTTCTTTGCTCAATAATGTTTCACCATTTTGTGAAAACCATAACATTGTGGTTCTAAATATGAATGACACTTTTCAAACACAAGGAAGGTCAAGGCGTAGGGTAGAGCAAGTTTCTAATCTACATCATTTTCAAGTTGAATTATTTTTTCAAGTGATTGATCAACAACTTCAAGAGTTAAACAACTGTTTCACAGAAGCAAATATTGAGTTGCTTCTTTGTGTAGCATGTTTAAATCCAAGAGATTCATTTTCTACATTTGATAAGGAGAAGTTGATTCGTTTTGCTCAATTTTATTCTTTTGAATTTTCTCCGGTTGAACTTTTGGCATTAGATAATCAACTTGAAAATTATTTCATAGATGTATGTTTTGACAATGCTTTTTCAAAATTAAAAGGGATTGGTGATCTTTCTATGAAGTTTGTGGAGACAAGAAAACATGTATTGGTGTATTTGCTTTTAGAGCTAGCCTTGATACTACCAGTGGCAACTGCATCAATTGAAAGAGCTTTTTCTGCTATGAATATCATCAATAATCGGATGCGAAATCGTATGGAAGATGAATGGTTAAGTGATTGTTTAGTTACTTATATAGAGAGAGGTTTTTGATAGTATTGAAAATGAGCAGATCATTCAATGTTTTCAAACTACGAAAACTCATAGAGAACAATTATGATATGTATTTGTTTTTATAAAAATTTATTTTTTATTTTGACAAATTTATGTATTTAAATATTGCCTCCACTACTTAAAATTTATGGATCCATCATTGAACTCATCCATCTCTTTTAAGAGACTATTATAATCATTAAAGATTCATCCACCTCCCATTGAAAGAACACTGTCAACGTAAGAGCGTTTAGTACCAGAAGGCCCTGGATCAGTATCTGAATGATCGACCATGGTAGCATCAACCCCTCCATCAACAGATTTCGTCTTTACTTTCTTGGTGCAAAGTTGACTCGAATTTTCTTCCTTTAGGATAGAAACCCTAACAAAGCTCTCCATCTTTTTAAGTATTATTGACATTTCATTAGAATTTTATCTATTCAATAACTTGTTTTATTAGACAATTCCTCCATTTTGTGATCATTATTTTAATTCTATGTATTCAATTTGTTTTCATTCATTATTTTGTCTAGGTAAATAAAAGAAAATTCAAATTTATCTTAAAAAAAAGATAAACTTTTATTCAATTTGGTCCTATTACTTTTAAAATGTTCAATTTGTTTTTACTATTTTAAAAACATTCAATTTGGTTCTATAATTTATTAAAAAATATTCAATTATGTCATTTTATCTAATTTTATTAATATTATTAGTGTCAGTTTAGATGAAAAGATAACATTAAAATTATTTTAAAAATTACATAATTAAATTAAATCTTTTAAAAATAGCGAGACTAAATTAAATCTTAAAAATAAATAAAGAAACTACAAATATAATTTAACTTAAATTATATTATTGAAGATATAGATTATGGTTGGGAAATATCTTTGCTTCATTAAAAAAAAACACCAATAACCAATTGGCAATAATGGAACAACTTAAACTTATCTAAATTATTAATCACATTATTAATAAATAATTTATACTATTAATAAAAAATTATTTTATTTAGTATTCACATTTTTTTATAATCTTACTTTCATAACTACCTTTTTATAAAAACTAACAATTTATTTATTTATTATTATTTTTTGGAAATTCACTCTATAATTATCTGTATGTATAATAATCACCCATTATTATATAATTCTTCTTATTTATTATTTTTTAAAATAATTTAAGAAGATACAAAATACCTTTTATATGCTATTACTATTAATAAAAGTGATTATCCCATATTTTTGAATAATTTTATCTTTATAACTACTTTTTACAAATTATATTTTTTTTATTATTTTGTAATCACCTATATTTTTTTAGTAAAGATAGGAAAGATTACAAAGATGGTCGTAATGAGGATTGAACCTAGGTCCTCATGCTTCTAACTACCCTAACCCCTCCCCACCTAACCACTAGGCTAACCCTAGTGGTTTAATCACCTATGTTTTTAATAACCACTCACTTATATAATTTTATTATTTACTATTTTATAAAAATAAGAGTTAATCACCTATACACTGTCAGTATAAAAAAATTTTACACTGACAACCAATCATATTTTTTAATAATGACATGTCAGTTGCTTATTTAATGAAGTAATAATAAAATAAAATAATTTAAAAGATATGATTGATTGTCAATATAAAAGACTTTACACTAGTAGTGTATGGATGATTAACTCTAAAAATAATTAATAGAGACTTGAAGTAATTATTTCTAATGAGGCAGTGTATTCATTGGTGAATCTGATTGAAGAAGGTAGTGATAGGGCTGTTGAAGCAAGCTTGGCAATACTGTATAATCTGAGTATGGACCCAGAGAACCATTCAGCACTTGTGGCTGCTGGAGCAGTGCAGGTCTTGAAAAGAATTGTTCTATCAAACAGACCACACTGGGAACGGGCACTTCTTTTACTCAGGATTTTGCAACCATGATGAGTTCAAGGGTGCAAATCTTTAAACATTTTTCATATTGTACAATCTACTTAAAATGTGTAAAAGAAAATCTTTACCCTTTCTTATAGATAAAACATATTTGATTCTTTAGAAGTATTTCGAGTTTTGCTATCTTAAATTTGATAATGCATGGTTTTTTCTTGATCAATGCATTTGTTTGTTTTTTTTTTCTTTTTAAATCATTGCATTAAATAAAAATATATCATTGTTTTATTTTATTTTTATTTTTGTCGATTTGTAATTATATCACTGTGTCTATGCCACCTCCCAAACCAACATAAAATATTTAAATTAATTAATGTAGAATGCCTCAACCACAATAGTAACTCCACACCCACAAACATGGTCATGATGATGCCTTAATAAAAAGAACCCAAAGTTCTAATTAAACAACCAAGTATATAGTTCTATGGAAATCTACAAATATTTGTAGACCAATAAAATATCTATACACTGTTACCACAAAAAGAAAAAAATAACATACATACATAAATTGTTATATTATTGAATATCCTTCAAAACTTTGAGTAATTTCCACATTGCATAAAGCTATTGACCTTTGCTCACAAGATGAGATCGTCAAGAAAAGGGTTGTTGAAGGGTAACTTGATGACTCCAAAGGCTACAAGGAGTAATATAGCCCAAACAGGTAGCATCCATTGTAACATAAACATTAGAATTCCTTTTCCTGCAACAATTTAAATAAATATAAATAAAAGAGCGTAATTAAAAGAGTTAATCATTTATATACTGTTAGTATAAAAGTTTTTACACTAATAACCAATCATATCTTTTAAATTATTTTATTTTATTTTTGTTTCATTAAATAAGCAACTCCCATAGTGTGACGGGCGGTGTGTACAAGGTCCGGGAACGAATTCACCGCCGTATGACTGACCGGCGATTACTAGCGATTCCGGCTTCATACAGGGGAGTTACAGCCTACAATCCGAACTGAGGACGGATTTTTGGAATTGCCTCACAAGATCGCAATCCTTTGTCCCGTCCATTGTAGCACGTGTCGCCCAGGGCATAAAGGGACATGAAACTTTATTATGTATAAAAAGTGACTAAAATGAAGATGTAAGTACTAAAAAGAAAGGAATTGCAAATAGTTACTTTTGGAGTGAATTTGAGGCTCAACATTGGTGGCGAGCCACTCTCCAGTTTGCCTCATCTTCTTCTGCAGGTCTCCTTCAATTGCTTGGCCCAAGAAGAGGTCCATCACAGTCTTCCGCATGTCCACATTCAGAGGAGGGGGTTCCGCGTCCCTGAAGCTTCCCGCGCCAACCATGCGTTCCACTTGCATTACCGAAAGCTTCGGTGCCCCCTTCCCAACCCTAACCCTCCTTCTCACACCACCCTTCCTCTGCTCTGAATTTGAATCGCTGTTCTCGGAAACCGTCGCATTCGCCATGATGGGTTTCGTTACCATACAAAAGTTAGCTAAGCAAATCGCTGCCATGCTTCACGGCTGCTCTAAACGCCTCACCTGTAAGTAAATGGATAAGACCACGCCACTCTCACTCTCAAAATATCAGCACCACTTCAAATATCTTTCACACTTCTTTCAACTTTATTATTATGTGCCTTCAAAAATATTAGTATATTAAAAAAAAATGAGTGATTATTATTTGTTATGTTATCATTTATTTGTATGAAATATATTTCGTACAATAATGTAAATTATTTATTTTAAATCAAAATTATAATTTATATGTTTAAAAGTATTTATTTATATTAATTTTAAATATAATCAATATAAATTTATCATACACAAAAATAATTAATATTTTTTTAGTAATTTTAACTTTATATTTAATTTAATTTTTATTTTATCAAATTGTATTTATAATCTTTATATTTTTATTGATCTATAATTTTAATTTTTTATTTTAAAATAAATAATTTAGTTCTTCTAATTTTAAAAATACAAAATTTTAATTTTTTTATCCAATTAACATTTATTGATTATAAAATTTTAATATTTATTTATACTTAATTGATGTAATGTTTAGTAATAAGACATTTAAAAATAAATAAAAAATTAGGCAAAAATCTTATTTTGGTCTTTTATATTAATTGTTTGTTTCAATTTAGTCCCACTTTTATTTTTTGTCTCAATTTGGTCCCAAACTAATTAATTGGTTTTAATTTAGTCCCAAATTAATTAATTAGTTTCAATGTGGGACTTCCGTCCAAATTATTTAAACGAAGTTAGCTTTTGGTCACGTGGATGCCACGTGGATGACAATTTTTTTGAAAACACCTGGATCCAGAACGGCCCGTTCTGACACCAGAACGGGCCGTTCTGGTTTCACTTTTGGTGTGTTAATTTTGCAACTGAAACGGGCCGTTCCAGATGCAAAATTAACACACCACCAGTGCAACAAAACGGGCCGTTCTAGTTTCAGAACGGGCCGTTCTAAATTCAGAACGGCCCGTTCCAAAATTGAGAATATAATATTCTTGACTTAATTGTGTTTTTGATCGCTCAAGTATTATAATTATGCAATTTTGATCCCTAAGGTTTTAATTGACTAATTTCTGTCCTTAAAAGATTACAATTGTGTAATTTTAGTCTCACAATTTTTAATTGAACAATTTTAATCTCTCAAATATCATAATTGTGCAATTTTAGTCTTTCTCATTAAAAATTTAATAATTTTAAAATTTTAATATATATATATA